TAACACTTGCTTCAATATGTGCCAACAGGTCACATTATGTACCAGTGCGAAAGCATCCATTTCTAAAAAGGGATTGTGTCTGAATTTCATCCTGAAAAAAATCATGTACCCCTGGATTAGCGATCTGTGCCACTCTTCATTGTTTCCGGTTCTCCTTTACCTTCTGTTGTGGGATTTTTGAGTTTTGAACCCACTGTTAATAGGCTTTGTTCAGTCCGAAAAGGTCTCAAACTGTACTTTTCCTTTGGGCACATGTTCACATGCTGCGAAGGTGCCGAGCAAAGAAGAATGTCAAGAGTATCAATTGAAAAATGTGCACTAGAATTGCCTGACCTGACGTAAAAGATGACGGTGCTAGAAAGTAGCTCTTCTTGACACGACAAGACGTAGACTTTCAGAAAATACATGATGGCAAGTTATTGGAATTCATGACGCAGGGAGTGAGTGAGGGGATGTGATTTTACGCTGCTATTAGCAATATTCCAGCACCAGAAATGGGCTTCACGCATTGCACCCATGTGGGGAATCGAAACCGGGGCTACAGTGTGACGAGCGAAAGCTTTAACCATTAGACCATAGCACCGCAACATTAGTGCTAATTTAAACATTAACCACACGGTTCTTAGTCAACGTAAGAGGACGCACATGGTGACCGGTGAACCTAACGATCGTCTAAGTCATGGAAGACTGATGAAGACCAATGACCATGATGACCGGGTCCAGATTCAATATCAATCAATCAATTTGTTTATTGTTTCAAGGCCAGTTGACCCATAATACAGTACATTAAATATTCATGAATATATACACATGCGTATCAAAGGAGCTCTCCTCTAATACGAAACACATTGTAAAGATATTTTGCTAACATGAATTGATGATCATTGGAATTCATTAAATATATTAACCCATTGATATTTCTATTGTGCTTGAAAATAAGAGGTACATCATCACGAAGAGTTTGATACATTGGACATTTATATAAAAATATGTATTTCATCTTCCGTCACATTACATAAAGCGCATTTAGAATCAGATCTTTCATAATCACAAAAACCTTTTCTAATACATTGTATTCCTAGCCTGTTGTAACAGCTTCTGAAGATAAGCAGTGCTTTACGATATTTAATATTATTAAGATCAAAGATGTTATTCTGTAGTAAGTGGAGTCTTAATAATAGAATACAACTGTAACGAGGTTTTATTTGTAAGTTGTGCATGCCAGTCTTGCTTGGCACAATCTATAAATCCTTTCTTAAATAGCTTTAAAAATAAATCACGATTCAATATGAACCATGTCGAAGAACGCAATGGGCAGAGGGAGTCTCTCAGACTCTCCATCAGTACCATCAGAAGGTGGCTGCAGGCTGCTTGGTTGACGTCCCTTCCTTACAGGCAGACATAGGCAGAAGAAAACTGCCACTTGAAAAAATGGTTTAAGGTTCATTGTTCTGATTAAGGTCTCTATCTTCCACGCGTTACCGACGGCCGCTGTCGCGTATGGAGACTTCGTATCAGCAGGAGATGATCCGTGCAGCTGGACCCTTTGGTGGTGGCTCAGTGATGGTGTGGGGTTTTGCATGTCGTATGGCTGAAAGTTGAATCTCATTGCAGTACCTGGAACAAACAATGGTCGTTGTTATGGACGAATATACTGAATTCAGCCACTGAACAACATTCTGCATAACCTTACCAAGCGTCAGATATCGATGGACAAAAACACTATTTCGTCGCGAGACGTCATTGCCCTTTTTAGAGCAATATTCCATCGAAACATTACCATAGCCCACATGGAGCCCCAATAGGAACCCAATCATACATCTTTGGGACGACAATAGACACCGTTCGACTGACTGACTGACTGAGTTTGGTTTCACGCCGCTTTTAGCAATATTCCAGCAAGATCACGGCGGGGGACACCAAAAATGGGCTTCACGCATTATGCCAATGTGGGGATTCGAACTCGGGTCTTCGGCGTGACGAGCCAACGCTTTAACCACTAAGCTACCCCACCGCTCCCCCCACGTTCGAGCAGGAGCTGGAGCCTGAGCTGGAGCTGGAGCTCCTCGTTTGAAGCACTCACTTCATAAGGAATGGCAAAGGCATCAGCTCCTAATAATTCGATACTTGATTGCCAGTATGAGGAGACTGGCAAATGAAATAAGCGCGAGGGATGGCTACACCTTGTATTGGTGTGGTTGCCTGGTGTGGATCTGATTGGTTATTGTTTGGTTTGTTATTTAACGCCGCACTCAGCAATATGGTAGAATAACAACTAGTCTCTCAAATGAACATATTTTACAGCAATAACAAAAAACATATATATAATGATAAGGAGCCCTGAGACTTCTTCCTGAAACTGTAGAAATCTAGACTTTCTTGGGCTTTCTTGTATATATTTGTTTCAGGGTTTGTATGACAGACTAGTTATATGGCAGCGGTTTGTAAATAATCGAGTCCGGACCAGACAATCAAGTGATCAATAGCATGAGCATCGATCTACACAATTGGGATACGATGACATGTGTCAACCAAGTCAGCCAGCCTGACCACCCGATACCGTGAGTCGCCTCTTACGACAAGCATAGGTTGCTGAAGATCAGTTCTATCCCGTATCTTCGCGGGTCTCTTACAATCACAAGAACCATTGTTTAAAAACTGTGCGCCGCCATTTAGCTGGAATATTGCTGAGTGCGGCATAAAACTAAACTCGCTAAAAAATATGCGACAATAAGATTTGTGGGGTAGTGATGAGGACCATACTTTCTGGCATTGCTGATAATCACGTTGTTCTGTATTCTTCTCAGATTATAAGTTATTACAATGTTTCAATTTCAGCCTTGATTTAGTAAAGCGGAGTAAGATGTGTTGAAGTTACCATTTTAATCCCCGAAATTTGGTTTTGAAAGCACAACAACATGTAGCGTTTCGTACTCATCTTTAAACAAAGTGGGTCGTGCATGATTAATAGACATGGGTATATTTCACTATTGCGTTAAGCATGAAGCCCAAATTCAAAAAATTATCGTAATTTGTCATTTGTATCATAACTGCCACGGAACCGGTAAACTGAGTTTATTATCATCAACTTTCTGGAAACCTAAACCTCACAACTTAATAATGCTGACATGGTATATTCGAAAGAACACTTATTGAAAATGTTTTATTTGGCATCTTTAAAATCGAATTCAGTAAAATTGTCACCGAATTGCATCAATTTCCTTGTTGTTTAGTTCTATTAAACAATAAAAGTGCGGTTCAGTTATGTTTACTAGAAGAAAATAAAAATACAAAACTTTAACTTACGTATTATTGTGCTAGAGTTCTTTTGCACATATTATATACATTTTCAGTCAATATTGATCAGAAATAAACAAAGCATATTTATCTTTTGTCACAGAGCTCACTATTCCCAAACAGCTGTCTGCTACCTGCCATTTTGGATAGAGGGAGCATTTATATTTTAGGGATATTTGATATTAATGTAAAATTAAATATTTCTTCTCTTGTCATGTACCTGTAAATCATCAGTTATTAAATTACTGGTGTGTAATGATTGGCAATACTGAATTTTTAAGAGTAAACATTGAAAAATATTTTTTTGTCTACTGCACATGCGCACAAGGAAAACAATCCATGTGCCTCTGTATAAGAAATTATTTCAGACATGTCCTTGTACATGATGACCATTTTTGGTGCTTTTATCAAATGAACATTTCTAAAGGAAACTTGATCTTAGCCGCTTCACTAAAAGATCTATGCGGCATTCCTTGTGTGTGCTGTTTGTATCTGACATATTAAACTGTTGTCTTGCTCTATATATGTTAAGATTTTGCACGTGCATTCCGTGAAGGGTAAGAAAAACATGTTTTACCATATTTGAAGGGTTCTTCAGAATACTCGATCCTTTTCGCAGTAATGTTAAAGTATTATTTTAAAAGTAGGAAGATTTATTTCCCGTCAGTTTTTCCTGTGATTGCTTCAATCTGGCAGCATTTTGGTGAACTTGACTTGATTATTTTAAACGCATATTATTGTAGGGTTTTTAGTATTTATATCAATACCGATATTTTAGATATTTATATCATTTGGGCGGTGGGGTAGCCTAATGGTTAAAGCGTTGGCTCGTCACGCCTAAGACCCGGGTTCGAATCCCAACATGGGCACAATGTGTGAAGCCCATTTCGGGCGTCCCCCGCTGTGATGTTGCTGGAATATTGCTAAAAGCGGCGTAAAACCAAACTCAGTCAGTCAGTCAGTATTTATATTACAGTTTCAGTGTTTTGTCAAATTGTAAATGTTTCTGTTACAGAAGGTATATCATTTTATAATTTATGTTGGGAAAATCTAGGAGGCATCGAGGTAAATGAAGGATTAAGCACAGATAAATTCAGTGAAAGACAATAAATTTTAATGTTACCGGCATTATGAATACAAAGTAGACTTCATCCTCCACGATTCTCATTTTATATTTTAACATGACCCTTCCCTGTCAATGAATGGTTGTTCGATTGTTGCAGCATTATGCATTCTGGTTGTACCCTTCCGGGTTAGAATTGTTCATCACTAACCAATGCTTGTCGTAAGAGGCGACTAATGGGATCGGGTGGTCAGGCTCACTGACTTTGTTGACACATGTCATCGGTTCCCAATTGCGCAGATCGATGCTGATGCTGTTTATCACTGGATTGTCTGGTCTAGACTCGATTATTTACAGACCACCGCCATATAGCTGGAATATTGAGTGCGGCGTAAAACTAAAACTCACTCACTCACCCACTAAATACGTCGATCGATACTTATGATGTTAATCACTGGATTGTCCGGTCCAGCTAATTGCTGAGTGCCACTTTAAGCAACACATCATGCAAAAGGATCACATTAAGGACCTAAGGACCTAAGTTACCTCTGAACCTGTTACAATTCTAACCAACACAGTCAAGATACGGAAACATTAGAATTGGTTGTATACCTGTCAAGGTAAAAGTACGACATGATGCTTTAAATGTTCAAATATTTATTCGTCATGGACACGAGACCACGTTTTAAAACTGTATCTTTATCCAAGCGTGATTTTGGCCTTGGCTGTTGGAAGAACTCGAACACTTGATGTCTCAAGGTTGTAGAAGCCGACAGCAGCAGCAGCCGTGCAGTCACCATTCTCGATCTGCCCAATCACTACCTTTTCACCAGTTGTCAGGTCACACTGAATTGGTCCGCCGAAGTCGCCCTGTAAGTACAGAGAACGAATACTTCTGCAATAAGGGCGGTTGTGTGAGTGTCTCGTACAAAACAGTTATTTCAATTATTTTCTCGTTGCTTCGAGTATTTTCCCGCTACTCGGATTAAGTTGACGTTGCTTCGAATATTTTCTCGATACTGCGATTAATTTCTCTTTGCTTCCAGTATTTTCTCGTTGCTTCGAGTATTTTCTCGTTATTTCGATACTTTTCTCGTTGCTGTGAGAATTTTGTCGTCATTTCAAATATTTTCTTGACATTTTCTCGTTGCTTTGATGAATTTCTCCTTGCTTAGATATTACTTTTTCGTTACTTAAAGTGTGTTTAAAAAAAATCGATTTTTTTTAAAAAGACTTGAAGCAGCGAGAAAATACTCGAAGCAACGAGAAAACATCTTAAGGCAGGAGAAAATGCTCGAAGTAACGAGAACATAATGGAAATAACGAGAAAATACTCCCAAACATTGACAAAATAAACGAAGCAACGGGAAACGCCGCCGAAAAAATACGTTACGCTACAAAAGTGGCAGCATAAGGCTGTCGTATGATTCAGCACAGGAAATGCAGGAAGAAAGATACATACGATGCAGGAGGATCCAGTGGGACTGATGAAGCAGTTGTAAGTGATGGCAGAGTTGGCGAAGTTAAAGAAAAGAGACGTTGCGGTGCCCTCCAGAAGTGATTCGCAGGTGTCGGTTGGCTGGAGAGAGGGGATATCCAGGTACTCGAAGGCCGGAGTTGAAGTAGCTATTGGACAGAGTCTGATCATTGGATATTATGGGATGGTATGTGATATTTCTGAAAACATTAATCTGATCAAGAAAATGCTGATGAAACCTCCAAATCCCCCAAAATCCTTCATTGGAAAAGCTGAAGGTCTTGTAGACTCCCAAACATTATCTAGTTGCCTAGGTAACTGCCTTACCTAGAGAAGTGATGTTTTTAAGCAATGTCTGAAATATATTCGCCTGTTTTCCTGTTTAGCACTGTTATTGTTATTACCTATGCTGTCGGGGAATCTTTGTAGTCAGGCTGCCGTTGATTGTGTGGTACCAAGCCATTAATGAACTGATCCTTACTGATACTATTATTTACAGATTTGTCTGTCCATGACTCGGTCATTTCAAGGCCGTTGTTTTATAACTGGACTACTGCGGCTTACAAAACGCCGCGAAACTATTTTATTCTGTCAGTGGTATTGTACGCAAAATACAAAGTCCATTGACGAATCTCAATTGTATCACAATAAATTAGTAAGGGTTGCAATAAAAAAATGTATAAAAAAAGGAGAATATTCTGTCTTAAATAAGTGTCTTAGTTAGAAAGCGCTTTTCATGTATGTTTCTTTACCATACTGACAGGAATTCTTCGTTTGGCACTCTCACTGGGTGTGCTTCTAATTTGTGTAATGAACTCGTGAAGATCCAGGTTAGAATTGATCTTCAGTAACCCATGCTTGTCGTAAGAAGCGTCTAACGGGATCGGGTGGTCAGGCTCGCTGAGTTGGTTGACACATGTCACCGTATCCAAATTGCGAAGATCGATGCTCATGGTGTCGGTCACTGGATTGCCTGGTCCAGATTCGATTATTTACAGACCGCCGCCATAAATCTGTAATATTGCTGAGTGCGGCGTAAACCTAAACTCACTCACTCTAATTTGTGTAGACTTCTTACATGTTTCTCATAGATTTACATGCTTTACAGTGGCACAAATACACTTAACAGGGGATTTAATTATTGATGCACTGAGACTGTGCCGAAGAATATCTAAACTGCCTATCACACAGTCCCTGCGCATCAACACATCCAAGATCGCTACTTACCGCCATTGTCAGAGTATCCTGCAGAAGCAACCTTGCAGGTATCAAGGAGGATGTCGTTGGCCATGGTGCTTGAGTAGACGCAGGCGATGCCGGGGCAGCTATCAGATGCTACAGCTGTTGGTAAGGTCACTTGTACCGGACCACCTATACCATTAGGGGTTGCTGAAATGTCCAAGGGAATGGGCAGTTTGGAGTTGATGGAATATGGAAATAATGTCTATACAGTTCACTATTTCCATAAAAAACTGGCGGTTATAACGAACTGGCGGTTATAACGAACTGTGGTTATAATGAACTTGTGGTTGTAACGAACTAGCGGGTATAACGAACTGGCGGTTATAACAAACTGGTGGTTATAACGAACTGATGGTTATAACGTACTGGTGGTTATAACGAACTGGTGGTTATAACGAGCTGATGGTTATAACGTACTGGTGGTTATAACGAACTGGTGGTTATAACGAGCTGATGGTTATAACGTACTGGTGGTTATAACGAACTGGTGGTTATAACGCACTGGTGGTTATAACGAACTGGTGGTTATAACGTACTATTTTAGTCTCGGCGATTTGTTTATATTAGTTGAAATGTGTTTAACAAACTACGGTTATTACGAACTAAAATTAGTAGCCCCTTTAGTTCGTTGTAATCTAACTATAATTCCTTTTCCCCTTTTTTCTGTTTTTCCCCTCTTTTTCTAAAAAAAAATGTACGAAAAATACAACTGATCATGTATGTAAAACTCGGTCGGAGGACATCGTACGGTATCATGTGCCCGATTCTTTTGATATGATTATCTGTTTCACCGAAACCTGATTAATTCTCAGTGTGAAGTGACCTGTCGCTTACCTGTGACACCTGATGCGATAACGGTTCCATCCTGGGCCACAATGCTACAAACGAAAAATATATACTGTTATCCTGGCTGTTTCTAGAAGGAATTCTTCCCGTGAAGATCTGGGTTTGAATTGGTCTTCAGAAACCTATGTTTGTTCTTGCTATATACGTACCATTAGAAGTTCTACTACTACTACTACTACTACTACTACTACTACTACTACTACTACTACTACTGTAAGAAGAAGCTTACTTTGCGTTGTTTACGGACGTAGCACAGTTGCTTGGTATAGACAGGGTGGTGTCACTTGTGATGACGCCAGTACATACAGTTCCTGCAGCAGTCTGGATGGCAACAAGTCCTGGGAACTCACCGCAACCGGAGATGGCGATGCCGTTCAGTAACCTGGTGACGGAGGTTGGCGTGGTAGATGCCTCAGCAGGACAAACTGAAATTGTATACCCGGTCAGTAAGCGAGTATACTCTTGAAGTCTCACTCAGCAATATTCCATCTGTATCGGTCATGCAAATATTCACTCATACCAGGGCGGTGAGGTAGCTTAGTGGTTAAAGCGTTCGCTCGTCACGCCGAAGGCCCGGGTTCGATTACCCATATGATTACAACGCGTGCAGCCCATTTCTGGTGTCCCCCGCCTTGATATTGCTGGAATATTACAAAAAGCTACGTAAGACCATACTCACTCATTCAAACCAGTGATTGACAGCATGAGCAGCGCTTCACAGTGTCGGAGTTCGATCCTCAGTTTAGGGATAAGATTTTGTTTATTAGTTAACGCCTTTTTCAGCAATATTGGATCTTTTCGATCTGTGTGAGCATCGACACATAACATCGTGCACAATGACTTGCGTTAATGTTACAGTTCAAACTTCAAACTCACATCGTGTTGTGGCGGTGGTTGTTGTTGTTGTTGTAGTTGTTGTTGGTGCCGTTGTAGTTGTTGTTACTGTTGTAGTTGTTGTTGGAGCTGCAGTAGTTGTAGTGGTAGTGGTAGTAGTGGTGGTGGTTGGAGGGGTCGTTGTAGTTGTAGTTGTAGTTGTAGTAGTTGCGGCTGTAGTAGTGGTTGTAGCGGCAGCTGTTGTTGTGGAACATAGTTCTGCTCCCACACATCCACAGAATACTACAGAATAATCTGGTTTATAGAAGTAGCATCCTCTACTTCTGTATCTCTTATCGTATCTGCTGGAAACTCCTGAAACAAACCAGGACATGACACATAAAGGAAACTGTGCACATTGGAAATCAAACTATATATTGGAACTACATGCATACCCAATAACTGAAATGATCTGACCATATGCATGTGCTAAGCGATACAACTTGTTTTGGCAGCACATTTGTGCATGTGCATTTCGATAGAAAACATGAATGTCTCAATCTGCAGTTGATTTGATCTTAAGAATGAAACGGTCAATGAACCGCACATCATGGCGCGCTTACCACCGAAATATCATTTAATAAGGCCACTTATATAGCGCAGAAATCCGAACGAACATGCTCAAGCGCATGCAACATGATGGACATTATTACCCCCGATAACTCAAGCTGCCCGTGAAGCGCAAGAGGATTAATAGTCCCACCTGGTTCGCAGTTTCTGCTGTGTGAACAGAGGCAATTTTGAGCAAACTCTCTTTCCTAAGGTGAGACCATATGTGTCATGCTTCGTTGTGGGACAGGGCTGAAGTCGTAGAAACTCTCAGGAGTCAAGCTGCCAAACACGGTCACCCATCCAAGGACTGTCCGCGACGAACGTTGCTTAACTACACGTGACTTGTGACCTGGGCTCTATGCGCACGACCACAAACCAACACTGTTGAAAAGTTATGAGAACAATAATGAAACTTCCAGTCGCCCGTGTGTATGACGCCATCGCTTCACAACGCCAAGACAGAACTGATGGAAATGGGTGACCCATCTCTGGCCCAGGTTCCAGACAGCAATGACCACTGCTCCGACAACCCAGGACTTCGGCCAACCACCCGAACACAGTGACTTACGTCATTATGACCACGTCGTTTCGCGTTTTTCTGACGCAACGTCATCGACAAGTCACGCGTTTATGAGGGTTGCTGGGTCAGTAACAATTATCAGGTTGATAGTTAAAGATACGAGTGATTACTCAAGGTTTTATTAGACCTCGACCTTGTCGATTTAACGAAACAGCTGTGTTGTAATTGGCTATATATTGCACGGTATGTTTCACACATTGTATGGCCTATTTTAATTTGGGTCTCCGCAATTAGGTATTGGCGTCATTGTCAGTCTAGACACAAGGCGAAGAAGTCACCGAATTTGTCTGACAATAAAACAGTTAACAATGTTGTAGTCTTGTGACGACATTAATGGTGAGAGTTGTTGTATTCTGGACAATATATTTTCATTACTAGGAGATGGTCCAAAGAAAGGAAGGACGTCTTTACGTTATTATCTATTGGGGAAGAAGGATGCTGTTGCGGGAATCGCTATGCTAAAGCCTGTGTCACGGAGATATGGTTACGGGGGTGGTTCCGTGATGATTGTGGTTGGGATACGTTCGCGTCAGAGAACCTCTGTAGTTGTTGTTCAGGAACAGTTGACAGGTGTGGGTTACAGAGGACAGAATAGGATAATTCCCGTCTTTCAGCACAAAGTTCACCGGATCTCACCACAAGACAGCATGTGTGGGATGAAATGGAACGATGTGTACGCCGTGTACTGAATTCGCCAGATAACTTCAGTGATTTGGCAGCTGTTACAAAAAAGCCTTCCACGCCCATTTGATATGTTCTATGCGACGCCAATACACTGCTATATCTCGAAGCTCATGGTGGGCATACTCGTTTTGGAGTTTGGGACTTGTTTCTTGAACCCTGAGGGGCAGTGGGGTAGCCTAATGATTAAAGCGTTGGTTCGTCACGCCGAAGACCCGGGTTCGAATCCCCACATGGGCACAATGTGTGAAGCCCATTTCTGGTGCCCCCCTCCGTGATGTTGCTGGAATATTGCTAAAAGCGGCGTAAAACCAAACTCAGTCAGTCAGTCAGTCAGTCTTGAACCCTGATCTAAATTTGGACCCGTAACATCAACGTCATGTACGCTAGAAATGCTGTTCTGCCTTCTTATTATAATCTTAACAATTTCAGATTCTTTTTGTGGCAAGCGTATATACAAGACTAGAGCAGGGCCCCAGACAACTATTTTGACACTGATGCAGGACATTTGGAAATGCTGCTCTCATTTCTACGCAAACCTGTCTTCATCCCTCATTTTCCACA